GAAGCGGCATATAATATTTTTCCATATGAAGGCGATCACTTCCTGTTCGCGTATTTGGGCGTACGCACCTGCTTCCACCCACTTGGAAAAATAGTCAGTTAAAACTAATAGAAATCGTACCTTTCCTCGTCCCGCTGGTAGGGGACCAACTATGTCCATTCCCCATTTGATGAAGGGCCATGGGGAAGTGACCGAGTGAAGTGGTTCTCCTGGTTGATGTATCATGGGGGCATACTTTTGGCATTGTTCGCATCGGCGGACATATTCCGCTGCGTCTTTCTTCATAGTCGGCCATAATAGCCGGCTCGTATTATGCAGCGCACGAGGGCGCGGTTGCCTGTATGGGCACCGCAATGTCCTTCATGTACCTCTTCGAGCACTGGCCGCATTTGTTGCGGACCTAGACACTTGGCCAGGGGTCCGCTAAACGTCCTTTTGTAGAGCTCGTGGTTTATCAGGCAATACCGGGCGGCCTGTACATGAAGCTTCTTGGCTTCTTTTTTGTCGAGAGGGAGTGTTCCATCCTGTAGATAGGATATAAATTGGTTGCGCCAGTCCCAAGTCAAATTCAAAGAGAGTACCTCAGTGTAATCAATGGCTGAATGGAGGAGGGTGACCGCGCTTTCTTTGTTGAAGTTTTTAGTGGCTGCGGCTAATTTTGCTAAGCCGTCTGCCTCAATGTTCTGTGCTCTCGGAACTTGTTCGAAGCGGCACTCCTCGAACTCGGTCATTAACCTGTGGATTTCTGACTGGTATTTTTGCAACCTCTGCTCCTTGATTTGGTAAGTCCCGGTGACCTTGTTCACCACGAGCTGAGAGTCGCGATGGAGAACGAGTCGTCGAGCTCCATACTTGATGGCTAGTTTCAAACCTGCAATAACAGCCTCGTACTCGGCTTCGTTGTTAGTCATCTCGGGGCATAGTATGGACTGGCGAATTGTTTCGCCCGTGGGGACCTCGAGAACGAGTCCCAGTCCCGATCCCGAGGCGTTAGCGGCGCCATCAGTGTAAAGAGTCCATAGGTCGGCATCGGAGGGGGCACAGCATGCCTCCAATTCCGCTTCTGGTAATATCTCTGCGCTAAAGTCGGCTATGAAGTCGGCAAGTACTTGCGACTTGATGGCGTTTCTTGGATGATATGAGATATCGTGCTCACTGAGCTCTATGGCCCATCGGGCAAGTCTGCCCGATAACTCAGGCTTGTGTAGGATACTTCTCAAGGGGAAGGTCGTCACTACCTTTATGGGGTGGCATTGGAAATAGGGTCGGAGCTTCCGTGAAGCTACGACCAATGCCAAAGCTAATTTTTCAAGGTGTGGATACCGTGTTTCGGCGTCCACTAAGGTTTTGCTAATATAGTAAATAGGAGATTGTGTACCTTTATTTTCACGAACTAGGACTGCGCTGACGGCGACCTCGGATACGGCCAAATATACAAGCAGTGGCTCACCTGGATTTGCTTTGGCTAGCAGTGGCGGTGAAGATAGGTACGCTTTCAATTTCCTTAGGGCCTCAACGCATTCCTCATTCCACTGTAACCCTTTGTCCTTTCTCAGCACATTAAAAAACTTATGGCATCTGTCGGAGGACCGTGAGATGAACCTAGACAAGGCGGCTATTTGCCCCGTCAACTTTTGCACCTGCTTTTTGCTGTTCAGTATCTCGGGTATCGCGTCTATCGCCTTGATCTGATCTGGATTGACTTCGATACCTCGTTGTGATACGAGAAACCCTAAGAATTTTCCTGATGCCACGCCGAAGGCGCATTTCTCGGGGTTCAGTTTCATCCCGTATCTTCTCAATATCTCGAAGGTTTCTTTCAGATGGTCGATGTGGTCCTCTTTTCTTGCCGACTTTACCAGCATGTCGTCGATATAGACTTCCATAGTCTTACCGAGCTGCTCTTTGAACATTTTGGTGACCAGTCTCTGGTACGTGCCCCTGCATTTTTGAGCC